GATGCGCCGCGTACCGAACCGCAAACGGCCACAGAAAATGGGGGGCAGCCGCATGCATCATGGACGTACGAGCGACGTCCATGACCATGCCAATGCGGCGCTCAGCAATCCCATTTTGGTGCGGAGAGTCCGGAAGCGTAAAGGTCTGGCGGATGCCTCGTGCACGACAGTAGGCTCGCAGAAGGCCGGAGGAGAACTCTCTGCCTCGGTCAGAGTGCAGACGCAGAACAGGAAAGTCCGAGCCGAAGCTCCTCCTGAGCTGCAGACGAGCTGCGCGGATCCAGTCGATCAACACCTCAGTGACATCACCCTTGCTGCGCAAGGGGAAGACTGTGGTGTAACGCGAGTAGTCGTCAACCACCAGCAGGAAGTAGCGCTCGTGACCCTGTCCACGGACGCGGGCCGGGCCCCACACGTCCATGTGAAGCGTCTGTAGAGGAGCCTCTGTCGGAGGAAACTGGGAGGAGTGGGGGGCAGCTCGGAGCCGCCCCTCGACACAAGGGACACAGGAAGGTCCAGGCCCCGAAGGAAGGGGAGGGAGAGACCGGGGGAGACCAGAGACAAGGACACGGGAAGCCATGTCCCTAAGACGAGGCAAGGAGGGGTGGCCAAGACGGTGGTGCCACAGGAGAGTCTCGTGAGACAGGAGGCGACACGAGCAGGGGGCAGACTCAGGACCAGACCTGGACGAAGCAGCAAACACCTGACCCGACGCAGCTACGTGGCCAGACGCAGGGACAGGAGGAGACTCAGTGGTCAGGGTGTAGAGACTCGACCCCGGCCGACGTGAAAACGTGGCTAGGTGTCGGCCTGTGCGAGCGTCCGAGCAGTGGGTCACCCGCTGACTCGCAGGAGTAAACTGGTGAACCCCCGCATCCTGCAGGTCAGCACCACTCACCAAGTTCGTCGAGAACGAGGGGAGGTACAGACCAGACAGGGTGCTCGAGGGGGCAGCCGGACACGGGAGGACAGTGGAGAAGTGAGAGAGGACAGGACCCCCAGAGGGGTCAGCCAGGGAGACCGCAACCGGCCGACCAAGCGGCGTGAGTGTGGTGCGGTCCCGAAAGAAGGAGCAAGAAGCCCCTGAGTCAAGTGTGAAGGTGAGGGAGGCCGAAGCCGACGCGGTACCTGAGAGCGCAGCCTCACCAGTACCTGAGAGCGCAGACGCGCTGGCACCTAGAGCAGCAGCCTCACAAGCACCTAGCGCAGCAGTACCAATGCCCGGGTCGGGCGGGAAACACCGGTAACAGTCACCCTCATCACTAATAGTCACAGCATACATGGCAGCAAGGATAGCATCAAAGTCAAGATCATAGATAGCTACGCCAGCCCTAGACAGCTCTCCCCAGCGGGGAATCTCACTAGCCTCGGGAAACTGCTGACGCCAAGCGTCCGTCAGGCGGCCAAAGCAGCGCTGGGTGGAGTGGGCACCCCCACATTGCTCACCCGCGCGGTCGCCGGAACGAAGAACGTAGGTGCACGGGCCAAAACCCCCACCACGCTGACGCTGCGTGTACCACTCACGGAGCTGCTGAGGTGGGGGGACGTCCCGAGAACGCTGCTGCTGCTGCTGGCGCTGACCACCACTAGAGCCGCTCCGCTGTGGGGCACTACCCCGACCAGCTCCACCTCCTCCGCCACCGCCGCCTCCACCTACGCCACCACCGCCGCCTCCGCTCCCACCGCCGCCGCCACCACCGCCTCCGCCTCCGCTGCCGCCACCACCGCCACCACCCCCGCCACCACTCCCACCGCCACTCCCACTCCCTCTGCCGCCTCCACCGCCACCTCCACTGCCCCCGCCAGCTCCACCCGCGCCCTTGCTCCCCTTGCCCTTGCCAGGGCGGCGTCTCCCGCTAGGGGCAGACGCCGCGCCGACCGACTCAAGACCAAGCAGGTCGGCAGCAGCAGCAAAGGCAACAGAGGGCAGCAGGGGGGAAGGAGAACACCCCTCAAAGATGGGGGGCGCGGGTCTCCACGAGAGGCTCCTACAGCGACTATGCTCTTCTCTGCCGCTAGGAGGGCCTTCTCGAGGAGGTCAACAGTGAGAGTGGTGGGACAGACTGAGAGGAAGTGGTCCCTGACTACGCGAAGGGAGTCAGGGAGGCGAGTGACTATGTAATAGAGAGCGATGTACATGGGGGGGGGGTGGGTTCTTGGCGTTGAACTCAGCAGGAAGGGCGGCGCGGTAGCGGGTGTCACTAGTGCGGAGGTGCGTAATGAGGTCAGCGACAGTGGGAAAGGCAGTAAGATCAGGAAAGAGGTACGGTAGCATGATGCGGCTCAGTGCAGCAGTGGCAGGGGAAGAGTAGCGCGCAACTACAGCGTCGTACAAGGTCTGAGCACTCTTGTACTGACTAAAGTGCGCGCGCTCAGTGGTAGGGAGGTGGCGACGCACAGCAAGACGTGCAGCAGCATCGCGGGTGGCCCACTGAGAGCGAACAGTGGGGTCAGCATCTGTAGCAGGAGCAGGAGAGGCGCCAGAGGTGAGGTCAAAGAGAGAAAGACCGTCCGCCCTATCGCACTGTAAAAACAGCTGCAGGTCGTCGACCCAGACCTCAAAGTCAATGGCTCGACCCTCAGCGTCAAAAGCGAGGACACTGGGGGTAGCCATGACGACAGACTAGCAGTGCAAGCAGTGGGGGAAGGGCACGCAGTAGCAGTGGGGCGTGCTCACCAGACAGGGCAGGACAGGTGGCTCGGCAGAAGGGCGGCTCGGCTGCAGGGCGGCTCGGCTGCGGGGCGGCTCGGCGGCTGGGCGGCTCGGCGGCTTGACAGCAGGGCGGCAGGGCGGCTCGGCGGTCGGGCGGCTCGGCGGCTCGGCGGCTCGGCTGCTGGGCGGCTCGGCTGCACAGCGGCTGGGCGGCTCGGCTCCTCCGGTACTCGGCGGCACGGCGGTCGGCTGCTCGGGTGCACGCTGCGGGGTGGTGCAGTGGGCGAGGAGAGCGGCCGGGCCGCTAAGCAGGGCGGCGGGGCCGCGAAGGAAGGGCGGCGGGGCCGCTAAGGAAGGGCGGCGGGGCCGCTAAGTGCAGGGCGGCGGGGCCGCTGAAGCAGGGCGGCGGGGCAGCGTGAGCAGGGCGGCGGGGCCGTGAAGGAAGGGCGGCGGGGCCGCGTAGGAAGGGCGGCGGGGCCGCGTAGGAAGGGCGGCGGGGCCGCGAAGGAAGGGCGGCGGGGCCGCTTAGCAGAGGGCGGTGGGGCCGCGAAGTGCAGGGCGGCGGGGCCGCGAAGGAAGGGCGGCGGGGCCGCTTAGCAGAGGGCGGCGGGGCCGCGAAGTGCAGGGCGGCGAGGCCGCGAAGGAAGGGCGGCGGGGCCGCTGTAGCAGGGCGGCGGGGCCGCTTAGCAGAGGGCGGCGGGGCCGCGTGAGCAGAGCGGCAGGGCCGCGAAGGAAGGGCGGCGGGGCCGCGTTAGCAGGGCGGCGGGGCTGCGAAGGAAGGGCGGCGGGGCCGCTTAGCAGAGGGCGGCAGGGCCGCGAAGTGCAGGGCGGCGGGGCCGCGAAGGAAGGGCGGCGGGGCCGCGAAGTGCAAGGCGGCGGGGCCGCTGGAGCAGGGCGGCGGGGCCGCTTAGCAGAGGGCGGCGGGGCCGCGAAGGAAGGGCGGCGGGGCCGCGTAGGTGAGGGCGGCGGGACCGCGACGTAAGGGCGGCGGGGCCGCGTAGGTAAGGGCGACACGGAGGGTCGCTAAAATAAAGAAAACGCGCCTCGGGGCGCGCTTCGGTGGGCCCTAGAAGCAGTCCCTAGGAGGGAACCTGCTCTGATTCCATGTGAAACAAAGAACGCGAATGAATGAACTATGAATGAAGTGAGTACATATAGGAAACCCTAATTGGGTTGTACCCCCTATGGGATACCCCACTATAGCCTACACAACAGCATAAGCTATAATGTTCTGACACGCTCTACAGCTGTCATCTGCGAGTCTCAGCACTTACACATTTACAACACAGATGGTGTTCTCCAAAACAGCGAAATAGGATCAGCACCGCTCTAGAGATGTCTCTGCGAGCCTCTGTAGTTCTCATAATTTTCAACAGCACAGATAGTGTTCGGCGGAACGACCCAATAGGAACATGTGACTTCAGTTGTTTTTGCTCAGGGAAACTATTAGTAGCTAAAGTGAAAATCCCAGGAACACGTACGCAAAGTGGCCGGGTGCTTCGCTGAGCAACTTTTCACCTGTTAAGACGATGGCAAGCTTGATTCAGTGGTATAAAATAACAAGACTCGACGTTTACGTCGGAAGGGTTGCGTAGAGTTGTATCCCTTGTATTAGAAACATTAAGATAGCGTACATGCATTATAATTATACTTTGCTTATAGAAGCAATTAATTAAGTTCTTCATTTTTACTTAAAACAGGTCAGGCTCGATATTTCCCTATTATGAAGCGAAATGTTCTATAGATGTTGCTTCCCTTTAAGTTGTTAATTAATTGTGGAACAACGTGGACATGTATGCTCTTTTTGTGATTTTCATAAACATGAATTGTTTTCACCAACAACTTAACTCCATTATTCTTTCAGATTATTATAGCGGGTTGGGCGTTTGGCATCGCTGAATGCCCTCCTCATGTGCTGGCATAAGGGCGTGCTACATTTTTTTAAGTCGATGAAAGTCCGGACGGCTGTCCAGACACGTGCGAAAATTGCGACTTCGTACGGTCGCGTTGCGACCAATTCAATGTCGTAAGGAGGCAATACGAAGAATGCGACGTCGTTTAGACCCTGACGAACTCAATGCTGAGATTTAACGAGTTTAGTAACCACACAATCGTCCGGACTGCTGGCCGTCAGGACGAAAAAATGAAAAATGTAACACGCCCTAAATTTTCTGGCTCTGCTGGCAGAATTTTTCTCGTTCTGCGCTGGCATCCGTCTCTTTCACAGCTCGAATTCGGCGTTGTCTTTTCTTGTTTCTTGTTCTTGAATCTTCTCGACAAGAACCTACTCTGCTCCTACTCCTTTTCCTCCCCTCCCACCACCCCTTCTTGCCAGTTCTTCTCCCACCTAGTCGTCGCTCTCGCTCCATCCAACCGTATCCTCTCCCTCACTACCCACTGACACCTCTCCAACCCACCTCACAATCACTCCGTCCCATCCACCCCGCCATCTCCTCTCCCTTACCTCCCCGCCGTCGCCTCCCTCCTCCTCGTCGTTGCCTCCCTCCTCCCCGCCGTCGCCTATCCTCCTCCCCACCGTCGCATCCCCCCCCGCCGTCGCCTCTCCCTCCTCCCCGCCGTCGCCTCTCGCTCCTCCCCGCAATCGCCTCTCCCCACTCCCCGCCGTCGCCTCTCCTTCCCTCTCCGCCGTCTCGTCCGGCGACAGGTGCACGAGCGCAAGCGCAGGTTGGTGCGCGAGCACGGGTTGTTTTCTCAGGCACCGTGGTTATCAGGTGCGTTCCTGGTCCTTCCGTCCTCCCTTCCCCCTTCTGAAATTTCCGTCCTGTTTTGTTTTGTTTTGGTTTGGTTTTTTCTCTCTCTCTCCAATGTGTCGATTGATCTCCACTTGCATTGCACTTTCATTTGAAGAAGAAAGAGATGGAGCGCGAGTGAGAGCGTGTGCGCATATGAGAGCGTGTGAGAGAGCGCGTGAGAGAGCGCGTGAGAGAGCGCGTGAGAGAGCGCGTGAGAGAGCGCGTGAGAGAGCGCGTGAGGGAGCGCATGAGAGAGCGCGTGAGGGTGCGCGTGAGGGTGCGCGTGAGAGAGCGCGTGAGAGAGCGCGTGAGAGAACGCGTGAGCGAGCGCAAGAGAGCGCGTGAGAGAGTGCAAGAGAGCGCGTGAGAGAGCGCAAGAGAGCGCGTACGTGAGAGCGCGTGAGAGAGCACATGAGAGAGTGTGTGAGAGAGCGCGTGAGAGCGCGTGAGAGAGCGCGTGAGAGAGCGCGTGAGAGAGCGCGTGAGGGAGCGCGTGAGGGAGCGCGTGACGGAGCGCGTGAGAGAGAGAACGCGGTGAGAATGCGAGAGAGAGAGAGTGCGTGAGAGTGTGCCTGAGAGTGCGCCCTGAGAGAGCGCATGAGAGTGCGTGAGAGAGCACGAGAGGGCGCATGAGAGCGCGTGAGAGAGCGCATGAGAGAGCACATGAGAGAGTGCGTAAAAGTGCGCGTGAGAGTGAGCATGAGAGAGTGCGTGAGGGAGCGCATGTGAGTGCACGGGAGAGCACGAGAGAGAGAATGCGTGTGATAGTCCGCGAGAGAGAGAGAATGTGGTGAGAGTGCACGAGAGAGAGAATGTGGTGAGAGTGCGCGAGAGAGAGCGCGAGAGGGAGTGCGTGAGAGTGTGCCTGAGAGTGTGCGAGGGAGCGTGAGAGAGCGCGTGAGAGAGCGCATGAGAGAGCGGGTGAGAGAACGCGTGTGAGAGCGCATGAGAGAGCGCGTGTGAGAGCGCGTGAGAGAGCGTATGAGGGAGCGTGTGAGGGTGCGCGTGAGAGGGCGTTTGAGAGAGAGAATGTGCGTGAGAGTGCGCGAGAGAAAGGACGTAAGAGAGAGAATGCGCATGAGCGTGCGGGAAAAAGAGCGCGATAGAGAGCGCCTGAGAGTGCCCCTAAGAGTGCGCCTTGATAGAGCGCGTGAGAGAGCGCGTGAGAGAGCGCATGAGAGTGCGCGTGAGAGAGTGCATCAGAGAGCACGTGTGTTGCGGTATCCCATTTCTGCTTTCTTGTACACAGTTTAGGAACATGCACTGATTTTTGTGCAAGGTGTGTTTGTCAGATTTATATGACATAGTTTCTGTAGGCTATAGTGGGGTAGCACATATGGGGTACAGGGTTTCTAGGGTTGTATTTGTACCCAATCTTCCATAGTCATTTCATTCCTGTTTTCCTTGTTTCACATGGTATAGAGCGGGTCCTACCTTAGGACCGTTTTTTTAGGGCCCACCGAAGCGCGCCCCGAGGCGCGCCTTTTTTCTAGCGACCCCTCGGGTCGCCTTTTCCCTCGCGGCCCCGCTGTCCCTCAGACGCGGCCCCGCCACCTCTCCTGATCGCGGCCCCGCCGCCTGTTTGACGCGGCCCCGCCGCCTACCCTGACGCGGCCCCGCCGCCTCCCCTGACGCGGCTCCGCCGCCTCCCCTGACGCGGCCCCGCCGCCTGTTTGACGCGGCCCCGCCGCCTTCCCTGACGCGGCCCCGCCGCCTCCCCTGACGCGGCTCCGCCGCCTCCCCTGACGCGGCATCGCCGCCTCCCCTGACGCGGCTCCGCCGCCTCCCCTGACGCGGCCCTGCCGCCTCCCCTGACGCGGCTCCGCCGCCTCCCCTGACGCGGCTCCGCCGCCTCCCCTGACGCGGCCCTGCCGCCTCCCCTGACTCGGCTCCGCCGCCTCCCCTGCCGGCCCGCCGCTGCACCCAGCGGCCCGCCGCCTCTGACGGCCTCGCCGCTGCACCTGCCGGCCCGCCGCCTCTGACGGCCTCGCCGCTGCACCTGCCGGCCCGCCACTGCACCCTACGGCCCGCCGCCTGCACCTGCCGGCCCGCCACTGCACCTGCCGGCCCGCCGCTGCACCTGCCGGCCCGCCGCTGCACCTGCCGGCCCGCCACTGCACTGGTCAACCCGCCGCTGCACCTGACGGCCCCGCCCCTGGATCTCCTGGCCGAGCCGCCCCAGCAGCCGAACCGCCCGTGAGCCGAGCCGCCCGACGCCGAGCCGCCCGGGACCCGAGCCGCCCTGCCGCCGAGCCGCCCGGGAGCCGAGCCGCCCTGCCGCCGAGCCGCCCGGGAGCCGAGCCGCCCGGGAGCCGAGCCGCCCTGCGCCCGAGCCGCCCAGCACCCCAGCCGCCAGGTCGCTGAGCCGCCTTTCTGCATACCTACTCGACCTGCCCTGCCTGGTGAGCACAGTCCCACTGCCACTGCGAGCTCTTTCCCTGCTGCTTGCACTGCGTCGCTGTCGTCGCCATGGCTACCCCTAGTGTCCTAGCCTTTGACGCTGAGGGTCGCGCCATTGATTTTGAGGTCTGGTTAGACGACCTGCAGCTGTTCTTACAGTGCGACAGGGCTGACGACCTTTCTCTCTTTGATCTCACCTCTGGCGCCTCTCCTGCTCCTGCTGCTGATGCTGATCCCGCTGTCCGCTCTAAGTGGGCCACCCGCGATGCTGCTGCACGTCTTGCTGTGCGTCGCCACCTCCCTACCTCTGAGCGTGCGCACTTTAGTCAGTACAAGAGTGCTCAGACCTTGTACGACGCTGTAGTTGCGCGCTACTCCTCCCCTGCCACTGCTGCACTGAGCCGTCTCATGCTTCCCTACCTCTTTCCTGACCTCTCTGCCTTTCCCACTGTCGCTGACCTCATTACGCACCTCCGCACTAGTGACACCCGCTACCGCGCCGCCCTTCCTGCTGAGTTCTGCGCTAAGAACCCCCCCCCATGTACATCGCTCTCTACTACGTAGCCGCGCGCCTCCCTGACTCCCTTCGCGTAGTCAGGGACCACTTTCTCGCAGTCTGTCCCACCACCCTCACCGTCGACCTCCTCGAGAAGGCCCTCCTTGCAGCGGAGAAGAGCATAGTCGCTGTAGGTGCTTCTCGTGGTGACCCTCGCACCCCCATCTTTGAGGGGTGCTCTCCTTCCCCCTTGCTGCCCTCTGTTGCCTCTGCTGCTGCTGCCGACCTGCTTGGTCTTGAGTCGGTCGGCGCGGCGTCTGCCCCTAGTGGGAGACGTCGCTCCAGCAAGGGCAAGGAGGGCAAGGGCGCGGGTGGAGCTGGAGGGGGCGGTGGCGGTGGCGGCGGTGGCGGCGGAGGGAGTGGGGGTGGCGGCGGGACTAGTGGCGGGGGTGGTGGTGGTGGTGGTGGCAGCAGCGGCGGAGACGGTGGTGGTGGTGCCAGCGGTGGTGGTGGAGGCAGCGGCGGAGGTGGAGGCGGCGGAGGTGGAGGCGGTGGAGGCGGCAGCGGAGGAGGCAGTGGTGGTGGAGGAGGTGGAGCTGGTCGGGGTGGTACCCAGCAGCGTAGCGGCGGTGGTGGTGGCCAGCGCTCGCACCGGCAGCAGCAGCAGCGCTCGCGGGACATCCCTTCGCCTCAGCAGCTTCGTGAGTGGTACGCTGGGCGTCAGAGGGGTGGGGGTACTGGTCCCTGCACCTACGTTCTTCGTTCCGGCGACCGCGCGGGTGAGCAGTGTGGGGGTGCCCACGCCACCCAGCGCTGCTTTGGCCGCCTGACGGACGCCTGGCGTCAGCAGTTCCCTGGGGCTAGTGAGATCCCTCGCTGGGATGAGCTTCTCAGGGCTGGTGTAGCGATCTTTGATCTTGATTTTGATGCTATCCTTGCTGCTATGTATGTTGTGGATTATAGTGAGGAGAATGAGGGTTACCGTTGTTTCCAGCCCGACCCGGGCATTGGTACTGCTGCGCTAGGTGCTTGTGAGGCTGCTGCTCTAGGTGCCAGTGCGTCTGCGCTCTCAGGTACTGGTGAGACTGCGCTCTCAGGTACTGCGTCGTCCTCGTCCTCCCTCACTTTCACACTTGACTCCGGAGCTTCTCGCTCCTTCTTTCGAGACCGCACTACCCTTACGCCGCTCGGCCGGCCGGTTGCAGTCTCCCTTGCTGACCCCTCTGGAGGTCCTGTACTGTCTCACTTCTCCACTGTCCTCCCGTGTCCGGCTGCCCCTTCGGGCACCCTGTCGGGTCTGTACCTTCCCTCGTTCTCCACGAACTTGGTGAGTGGAGCGGACCTGCAGGATGGGGGTGTTCACCAGTTCACTCCTGCGAGTCAGCGCGTGACCCACTGCACGGAGGCACGCACAGGCAGACACCTGGCCACGTTCTCGCGTCGGCCGGGGTCGAGTCTCTACACCCTGACCGTTGAGTCTCCTCCTGTCCCTGCGTCTGGTCAGGTGGCTGCGTCGGGTCAGGTACTTGCTGCTGCGTCCCGGTCAGGTCCTGAGTCTGCCCCCTGTTCTTGTCGCCTCCTGTCTCACGAGACTCTCCTGTGGCACCACCGTCTTGGCCACCCCTCCTTGCCCCGTCTTCGGAGCATGGCTTCCCGTGTCCTTGTCTCTGGTCTTCCCCAGTCTCTCCCTCCTCTCCCCTCCGGGCCAGGACCTTCCTGTGTCCCCTGTGTCGAGGGTCGCCTCCGGGCTACTCCTCACTCCTCCCACTTCCCCCCGACAGAGGCTCCCCTGCAGACGCTTCACATGGATGTGTGGGGCCCAGCCCCCGTCCGTGGGCAGGGGTACGAGCGCTACTTCCTGTTGGTAGTTGACGACTACTCGCGTTACACCACAGTCCTCCCCTTGCGCAGCAAGGGTGAGGTCACTGAGGTGCTGATCGACTGGATCCGCGAGGCTCGTCTCCAGCTCAGGAAGAGCTTCGGCTCGGACTTTCCTGTTCTGCGTCTGCACTCTGACAGAGGCGGAGAGTTCTCTTCTCGCCTTCTGCGAGACTACTGTCGCGCACGGGGGATCCGCCAGACCTTCACGCTTCCGGACTCACCACAGCAAAATGGGATTGCTGAGCGCCGCATTGGCATGGTCATGGATGTCGCTCGTACGTCCATGATGCATGCGGCTGCCCCCCATTTTCTGTGGCCGTTTGCGGTGAGGTACGCGGCGCATCAGCTCAACCTTCACCCCCGGGTCTCTCGGCCTGCGATGTCCCCAGCCTTGCTGTGGACGGGGAAGGTTGGCGATGCGTCTGTGTTCCGTGTCTGGGGATCTCGGGCGTTTGTCCGCGACTTGTCTGCGGACAAGCTGTCCCCTCGTGCTGCTCCCTGTGTCTTCCTTGGCTTCCCCACTGACGCCCCCGGGTGGCAGTTTTACCACCCCTCCTCTCGTCGTGTTCTGTCCTCCCAGGACGTCACGTTCGACGAGTCAGTCCCCTTCTACCGTCTCTTCCCCTACCGCACTCCTTCCCTCCCCCCTCCCCCGGACTTCCTTGTGCCGGTTCCCCCCCCGGTAGACCCCCTCCCCCCTCAGGTTCCTGCCCCCTCAGGTGTGTCCCAGGTAGACGCCGTTGACCCGGTCGAGGTTACTGGTGACTCTGGTGCTGCTGCGGGTGCTGAGCCTGGGGGTGCTGACTCTGGGGGTGCTGTGCGCGGGGGTGCTGAGCCTGGGGGTACTACTGCTGGGGGTGCTGGGCCTGAGGGTGCTACTGCGGAGGGTGCGGAGCCTGGGGGTGCTGAGCCTGGGGGTGCTGTGCCTGGAGGTGCTGGGTCTGGGGGTCCTGGGTCGGGAGCTGCTGAGCCTGGGGGTGCTGTGCTGAGAGCTGCTGAGCCTGGGGGTGCTGCGTGTGGAGCTGCTGAGCCTGGGGTTTCTCCTGCTGCTGCGTCTCGCCGGGAGCCCCTCTCTCCACAGGAGCTGCGCGAGTGGTTCGCTCGCCGCTGGAGGCGTGCTGCTGAGTCTGGAGGTGCTGCTGGAGCTGGAGCTGGAGCTTCTTCGACCGTCGAGGGTGCGGGTGCTGCCGGTCCCGGAGCTGCTGGACCTACTGGTCCTCCTGGAGTTGGAGCTGCTGGTGGCGCTGGTGCTGTCGCTGAGGGTGCTGGTGCTGTCCCTGCTGAGTCTGGAGCTGCCGCGCG